AATAAAAGCCATATATGGCAAACCTATAGCTAACATTACACTGAAAGGCAAAAAGTTGAAAGCATTCCCCCTGAGAATTGGAACCAGACAAAGATCCCCACCTTCACCACTTCTACTCAACACAGTACTGGAAGTCATAGCCAGAGCAATCTGATTAAAAAAAAAAAGAAAGAAGCAGCATACAAATTGTAAAAGAAGAAGTCAAACTGTCATTGTTCACTGATTATGTGATCATATACCTAGAAAAGCCTAAAGATTCATCCAAAAAGCTCCCAGATCTTATAAATGAATTCAGTAAAGTCTCAGGACACAAAATCAATGTACACAAATCAGTAGCACTCTATACACCAACATAACCAAGCTGAGAAACCAAGAACTCAATCCTCTTTACAATAGCTGAAAAAATAAAATAAAATACTTAGGAATATATTTAAAGAAGGAGGTGAAAGATCTCTCAAAGGAAAACTACAAAACACTGAAACACAGAAATTATAGATGATACAACCAATGTAAACACATCCCCTGCTCATGGATGGGAAGAATAAAATGACCACACTGCTCAAAGCAATCTACAGACTCACTATAATTCCCATCAAAATACCATCAACATTCTTCACAGAACTAGAAAAAACAATCTTAAGGTTCGTATGGAACCAAAAAGAGACCATATCACCAAAGCAATACTAAGCAAAGAACAAATCTGGCGGCATCACACTATCTGATCTCAAATTACAACACAAGGCTATAGTTACCAAAGCAGCATGGTACTGGTATAATGAGAGGCACATAGACCAATAGAACAGAATAGAGAACCCAGAAGTAAAGCCAAATACTTACAGCTAACTGATCTTCGACAAAGCATACAAAACCATAAATTTGGAAAAGGATACCCTATTCAATAAATTGTGCTGGAAAAACTGGCAAGCCACATGTAGAAGAATGAAACTGGATCCCCATCTCTCACCTTATTAAAAAATCAACTCAAGATGGATCAAAGACTTACATCTAAGACCTGAAACCATGAAAATCCTACAAAATAACATCAAAGAAACTCTTCTGGACATTAGCTTAGGCAGAGAATTCATGGCAAATGCATAAAAATACAAATACATAAATGAGATCTAATTAAACTAAAAAGCTTTTGCACAGCAAAAGAAATAATCAGGAGAGTAAACAGACAACTCACACAGTGGCAGAACATACTTGCAAACTATGCATCTGACAATGGACTAGAATCTAGAATCTACAAGGACCTCAAGCAAATCAGCAAGAAGAAAACAATCCCATCAAAAAGTGGGCAAAGGACATGAGCACACAATTCTCAAAAGACATATGCAAACAGCCAACAAACATATGAAAAAATGCTCAACATATCACTAATCATCGGGAAAATGCAAATGAAAACCACAGTGAGAAACCACCTTACTCCTGCAAGAATGACCATAATTAAAAACAATAGATGTTGTTAAACATCTTTAAAAACAACGGATGTTGACGTGGATGTTGTGAAAAGGGAACACTTTTACATTGCTGGTGGGAGTGTAAATTAGTAACAACCACTATGGAAAACAGTATGGAGACTCTTTAAAGAACTAAAAGCAGAACTGCCATTCAATCCAGCAATCCACTGCCAGATATCTGGTCAAAGGAAAAGAAGTCATTTATGAAAAAGACACATGCACATGCTTGTTTATAGCAGCACAATTTGCAATTGCAATGATATGGAACCAACCTGAGTTCACACAGACCAACAGGTGGATAAAGAAAATATGGTATATTTACACCATACACTATTACTCAGCCATAAAAAGGAATGAAATAATGACTTTTGCAGCAACTTGGATGGAGCTTGAAACCATTATTCTAAGTGAAGTAACTCAGAAATGGAAAACCAAATATCGAATGTTCTCACTTACAAGTAGGAGCTAAGTTATGAGCACACAAAGGCATAAGAATGATATCATGGACTTTGAGGTCGTGGTGGGGAAGGGTGAGAGAGGGGTAAGGGATAAAAGACTACATATTAGGTAGCGTGCACTGCTCAGGTGACCCGTGCACTAAAATCTTATAAATCATCACTTTAATCAATCACTTTTCTCAATGTCAAAAAGTACTTTAATAAGTAGCTCATGAGCTGCTACCTGACTTGCTGAGAAAAATGACTGCTACCCAGAGTCTAATCACATTAATGTGCTTCTTTTTTTAACAGGCAGTAATATATTTTTCAAGCTTCATGCTTAAAGTTTCTAGATTATAAGCTATTATTCCAGAGTGTGAAGATTCAGTTTAGTATTGGTCTCATTTTGCTGAACATAGACAGACACATTTATTCAATAATGTCACTTTTCTTTTCCTACAGATTTCTATCTCTTGGTCAACAGACTATGAAAGGAAAAGCATAACTGTGTTGTTAAAATATTATATTCATTTGCATAAAAATTGACCATAAACAGAATTTCCCAACAAATTTGCCATGATACATGTTGTGTTACTGTTCCCCTTGGGCCACAAGGCAGGCAGTGCCTCTTGGCTGCTGGGCTTGGGCCCTAAACAGAGAAGGTAGCACAACCATGTCTTCAAAAACAACAGTGCTATAGTTTGAATGCCCCTTCCAAAACTCATGTTAAAATTTAATTGCCACTGTGACTGAATTAAGAAGTAGAACCTTTAAGAGATGGCGCTGCCCTCATGAATGGATTAATGGTTCTGTTTTACGAGAGAATGCTGTTTTCAAGTTTAAAGGCACTGGTTAGGCTAAATGAAAGCATTCTCACATGGCCTCCATGAATCTCACATGGCCTCAATGAACAGTGAGATAAATGACAGGCATGCTCCCACAGGAGAACTAAGTTTTGGGAAAATATAAACAATACTAGAACATAATGAAAAAAAAATCAACCTTTTGAAAGGATGCACATTATTCATGCATATGTCCATTCATTCAATAAAATATTATGGAACCACAAGGTAAAAACCTAGGAAGAATAAAAAAATACTTTCTCCAATTATCTAATAAAGGAATCGCTAATTTGGATGACTATGGTAATGCATATATGTTCCAAAAGGAGCACGAAATTTGGCAGTTATCCACAAATTAAAAGAGTTAAAAAAAATTAAGCAGCTTTCTCAATTCAGTAAAAACAGTGGACAAAGATGAAAAGACTTGGGAGGTAGGGAAAGTAACTAATCACTCTTTCAAGAATCCCTCATTTGATGTAGTAGTGATTTCACTCATGTAGCAGTTGAAGAGAAATTTCAGCCCCTTGATGTCTGTGGTTATAAATACAGGGAAATAAAGTTGTCTCAAATGCATAATTTTCTGTGGCTTGAAGTGCCAGCAAAGTAAACTCCTCTCTTAATAAAACCCATGAGCAATCTTTCCATTTTTTAATGACCTTATGACAAGTAAACAATTTTATAACTCACCAGAAGTTTCAGTTTTCAAAAAGAAATACCACAATCAATTTGTCCTATATATTTTCTTAAAACTTTAAAAGAGAAAGTTTATTTTGAAGGTTACCGACTGTTTGAACTAAGTTTACAATGTTAATACATGAACTGCAACTACAGGAAACCCTCTCAGTTCCTACATCCCGAACCTGGCAGGACTGTTCTACTTTCTACAATTAATATTTAATTAGTATAGTCTTAGCTGTCTGTATTATTCTAATTCAGATAAGGATAAACTTTTTTCTAAAATTCTTCATTTCTGAATGAATATAGGAATATTATAAATAACTAGATTGTTACAACACAGAATTTCCATGTTAATGGCAACAATGGTATTTTATCCTTTAGTGCCTAAAAGTAACTCTGAATACATTTTAGTATAATGTGGAAAATAGGCTTCAATATTTTGGCTGCCAAAAAAAGTATGTGCTTAATTAAATGTACATTACTCTATGTAGGTATATTCCAATCTTGATGACGACTATAGTAAACACAATACTTTGTAAGAAAAAAACAAAACAAAACAAAAACAAAAACAAAGGAAAACCAATATTGTAGTTCCCATATCAAAGTACTATATAAAAAGTGTTTATTAACAATTTTGATGTCTAATTTCATCAGTTAAAGGACAAATACAGACCTTTGATACAAGATTAAAACAATAATCTATGTAAGCAATCACACTTCCTCCTTACTACTCAGCCAGGGCTTTGCCTACATTCTAAGACATTCTGAGGATGTGCTCTCATTAAAGGTTAATTCTTAAAAAGTTACTGGGGAAACCACTTGCCTCCTGATGCTCATTCTTGATCATTTTACTGAGAAATTGATGACAAGAGTTTTGCAACTTGTATATAAATTATGCTGACTTTAGACATTCAATTCCATTATTTACCAAACTCACCAGAATCTGTCTCTGTAGGGCATACCTAACAGAAAACATCTTTAGCTACTTTGCAACAGGCTACATCTTTGTGATAATGTTATCCTCATATCTTATTCACATATATATAATCTCTATGCAGTAAAACAAAGAAAGGCTGGATCAGGGTGCCAGGGCCTTCTCTCACCTCGATTTCAGATCTTAACCAAGCTTAACATACCACCTCCTCCAGGAAGCAGTCCCTGATCACTGATCCCAAAGCAACTATTCCCCTTTAAATTGTCAGAGCAATTTACTTACACCATTTTTTAAAGTATCTATTCCCTTCTACCTTTTATTTTGTGTATTAAGCATATAGTAAATTATAAGAATTTATCAGCTTCTCATGTATAAAGACTCTTACATACTTCTGCTTCTCAGAACAAACTCAATGAATGCTCATGTAATAAATAACATTGTATATTTACTTAGTCATTAAAAAACTACTGTATTATTGAGGTATACCTTTGGTGGCTACAAAAATTACCAATCAATCAAAATGCTTATCAAAAATAATAAAATACATTCACAAAACACTCAAGTAAAATATACACCATATCCAACTGGAGGGAGGATACAGTAACCCTTGCAAGATAGATCCGCAGCTATAAAAATGATTTTTACTTACTTGTCTCCAAAAAACTTTCTCCAGAATTCAGCAGCATCTGCTTTTGTGATACGAAAGTTATCTCCCTGAAATTGACCATTGGGAAAGATTGCTTTGATTTCTGCCAGCATGTGACTGAAGATAAGGGACAGTTTTGTGAGATTTCGTCTGTAGGCACAAGGGAAAAAAATGAAGATAAGAAATAAATACCTATATGCATACAAATTTTTATGGGAATATATATTAAGACAAATGTTATGCATGTATCAACGTACGTCTTGATGGTTGATCATGAAAACCTCAACTGAATGCTGCCCTTAAAAACAATGTTTATGAAAACATTGAAAATTTTAATTCCTAACAAGGCTGTCAATTTATTAGTCATCCATGTATTCATTTAACATAAACACAAATAAGATAAATTACATAATTTCACTGAGCTCACAGATTAATGGAAGAGATTGACACTTAAAAAATAATAATCAAATATAAATGGTAAACATAAAAGAGAGAGTGACTATTTCTACCTGGGGGAGTAAGGAAAGATTTGCTATCAGAGGAGAATCTAGGAAGAAAACTCATTGTTTGACAGATAAAAGACCTGGAGTGGAGAGAAAGGGAGGATGGAGAGGGAAGTAAAAGGTATTTCAGGCGGTAGAAACAGCATGTACAAAAGTTTAATACATAAGTATAAAATGAAAATGTATTTGTATTATATCATTTTTGGCATGATTAAAGCAGAGCAGAGGGTAACTGGAGAAAATAACATGAGACAGAGTAAGAAACTTTGGTTGGGATATGACATAAAGAGGCATCTGAATCAATGCACAGTTTTTGTTAAACATACTTGCCACTCCTACCGAAATACCAGATTTTCTGAGGATGGGTTCTAGATATGTGCATATTTTAGAAGCCCCCTGGGCAATTCTAATGTGCTTTCCTCATTAAGAGGTACTACTATAAGAAATGGAGAGTCAGGCCAGGCGTGGTGGCTCACCCCTGTAATCCTACCACTTTGGGAGGCTGAGGCGGCCAAATGGCTAGAGCCCAGAGTTTGAGACCAGCCTGGGCAACATGGCAGACCTCATCTCTACAAAAAATTGGCAGGGTGTGGGAGCACATGCCTATAGCCCCAGTTATCAGGTAGGCTGACGTGATCTCTTGAGCTGGGAGGCAGAGGTTGCAGTGAGACATGATCACGTCCCTCCACTCCAGCATGGGTAATAGAGTGAGACAATGTCTCAAAAACAAAAAATTAAAGAGAAAAGAAATAAATCGAGAGTCAAATGGATTAACAGATCCAGAATTCTGAAGACTTGATGAAGTCTGTTTTAGAAGGAAAAAACTGTAGTAGTATGACAAAATGGTTTAGAACGGAGATACAGGTGTCACCTCTATTCTAATTTCCATATTAAGTTCCGGAGATTCTGGCAAGATTTAAATCAGGCTTCATACTACAAAATAGTACTATCAATCACCTGTAATCCTCGCTAACGTTTCTTAAATTTTCAATATTACGTTAACTGGCATAAAACTACTAGTGCTAGATAGGTAAGAAGCAATTAAAACACAAAATACTAAATAACTTCCCAGTTTTAAACAAACCATGTTTCTTTATATCCCCTTTTACTCAGAATGACCAGAAATCAATAGGTACATTCTGCATATGTTTTCATTTTGAAGCTTCAGCTATTATGCATGTGTATGTGCGCCTGTATATATGTGAGGGGGGGGGGAGAGAGAGAGAGAGAGAGAGAGAGAGAGAGAGAGAGAGAGTGTGTGTGTGTGTGTTGGGAGGTGAATGGAGGCAAGTGTATTAGTACTCAATAAAAATATAGCAGAAAATTAATATAGAGAAAGTCATCAAATTTACAACATATAAAACCATATAATGTATCAACAGAACTTTGTCATTGAAAGTTATGTTTCTTTGCTCCATATTTACTAATGTATCTGTGTTTAATAACTGTCAAATAATAACAAAAACTCATGTTTGTTACCAAGGAGATCATGTAATATGTACCTGACAATAAAACCATTGGGTGACACTCTTTCTAAAACATTTACAAAGGAGACACATCACTTCCTGTATAAGATGAATATAGAATAAAGATACTCATGATCAAAAGTGGGAAAAGTAGTAATAAGAAGAATGCAGTAAGATATTCTACAAAGTCAATAAATTCATCTTCCCTAAAAAACTAAAAAAAAAAAAAAAAAAAAAAAAAATTCACCTATTTCCATAACTTATATTATCTATGAAGAGCTTTTTGATGAAAAGTGGGGGGGGGGGTCATTACATAGGCTTTATTTTAATGCTTGACCTGTGCCCATAAACCATCTGCAAAATTCATTATAATATACACAAATGTTATATCATTTTATTAGATTCAGCCACTTTTGCACAACTCAACCTAATCCAAGTGTAAAACTTTTGTTAATTAATTGAATCTTTGATATCAATATGATTTTGTCATTTATGTTAACATGTCATCAATTTAGATGATGGTAGATGTAAGATATTCAGTTTTAAAAAATAAAAAGTAAACTGTTTTACTATATCAAAGGAAAGACTTGTGGCTAATACAAACTACAACCAACTTCCCAACTTCTAAGATTTGAGTTTAAGAAAAGTATAAAATCACCTTAGGAAATCTGTAATGAATTTATTTCTATAATTGGGCTAAAGATTTAATTTTACCAAACTTCCAATTGATACATACAAAAGAAAAAAGAAAAATCAAGATGACTATAATTAGGGTAAACCAACTGTTCTTTATTTTCTGAATTGGCTGCACTCCATTCCCTTGATTCTTTGTCCTTTAATCATATCCAATTTTTTTTTTAAATTTTTACTTGTTAGATCTAAAGTCTGAAACACCATGCCAGTGATTACCCATTCTGGGTATCTGATCCACTGGCTATGCAGACCCTGAACTTTAAAAGAAACATAGTAACATTTTTTATAGTCTAGAAGCTCTAATAATCACTAGTATCTATATAAATACTCACTGATTGATTATAAAATGTGTATATACTTCTATTTGCTGGCTTCTGTAAATGGATCACCACAATTTTATTTGGCTTTTTGCACAAAATAAGGCAATGAAAAAATACATTTTGCCTTTAGTCTTGAAAGAAACTCAAGCTCATATTGTTAAAAATATTTGAATATATATATATGCATATATACATACACATTCCAGAATATATATATTTACTTTATACTTATACACTCACACACACTCCATATATATGTAAATAATCATCTTAGAAATCTACTATTTAACATATTTATAGAGGTTGCAATCCACAGCAAGGTATGAAAAGAACTGACAAACTTACTCTGTTGGAGCTTAAAAGGAAAAAAAAAAAAAAGAACCAAAAACTAATTCTGGTATCTAATGTCATTTAAATTTGTTATCATAGCAAATACATTTTCTTTTTTGTATGATACTGTGACTTATTTTTGTTTACAATGTTTTGCTATGTAGTATGTGCTTTCTTTATTCCCCCATCCCACTCTGCATCCTTTGATATCCACTTTTTTTTTTGAAGCGGATTTTTGCTCTTGTTGCCCAGGATGGAGTGCAATGGCGTGATCTCAGCTCACCGCAACCTCTGCCTCCCGGGTTCAAGCGATCCTCCTGCCTCAGCCTCCCAAGTAGCTGGGATTATAGGCATGCACCACACCACACCATGCCCGTCTAATTTTGGATTTTTAGTAGACACCGGGTTTCACCATGCTGGTCAAGCTGGTCTCAAACTCCTGACCTCAGGTGATCTACCCGTCTCAGCCTCCTGAAGTGCTGGGATTACAGGCATGAGCCACTGTGCCCAGACTGACACCCATTTAAAAAAAAAACTTTCAATTTTGAAAATAAAACAATCCAAGAATACAATCATCTCTAACCATCTAGACATAGAGAGAAGAAAAGAAACAATCACACATCTTTGTAAATGGAATTTTTTTCTATTATGCAATTTTTCCACACTTAGCCAATTTTCCCTAAGCCCATGGGATTTCCCATCATCATAAGACCTAAAATGATGACTGCCTAATAAAGGGTCTGATACTTAGTAAGAATATATTTCTGACACTAAAACAAAACAATCCCCAGACAACTAAATACAAATCTGCCCAGAAAGAATACACTGAATAATCTTATAAAAGAAATTTTAATTTTAATAAATTTTAGATGGAATTTTTGATATCAGTTCTTTCACTTAAAAGAGAAGCTTCTTATTTCCACATACATTCCATTAACCATCACATTTATTCATGTGCTTTACATGGGATTTTGTTTACAATAAATAATTTTACAATAAAAGTTTTTTTTTTTTTTTTTTTTTTTTGAGACGGGGTCTTACTCTGTCACCCAGGCTAGAGTGCAGTGGTGAGTTCTTGGCTCACTGCCAGCTCTACCTCCCAGGGTCACGCCATTCTCCTGCTTCAGCCTCCCAAGTAGTTGGGACTACAGGTGCCTGCCACCACGCCCGACTAATTTTTTGTATTTTTAGTAGAGATGGGGTTTCACCGTGTTAGCCAGGATGGTCTCGATCTCCTGACCTCGTGATCTGCCCACCGAGGCCTTCCAAAGTGCTGGGATTACAACGTGAGCCACTGCGCCCGGCCAATAAAAGTTTTTTAAAATACCAAGTATTTTAAAATACCAAATAATCAAAAAGTAGTTGTCAACATTGGCCAAACTGCCAAACACGTTAACATTAGAGGAGCCTTGAAGAAGAAAGAGGGACGGAGGAGTAAAAACCAAGGAAGGAGAAGAGCTACATTAAAAAGAGAGAAAGAGAGATGTGAAATGCATCCACAATGTCATCACCTAAGTAACAAGGTACCTCTTTCATCCTGGATTCTGTCGCCTATATCATATTTCTTTAAAATGGTATGAATCAATTTCTCCAAATGTCAAGTTACATTGTGGGGATTCAACTAGAATGTGGATTTGAACTACAGTGAATTAGCATGCTGACTCTATTGGAATGATGGAGCTTCACTGTTTATTAGCAAGTTTTAACAGTTTAACATTGCTATAGTCAACATAATAAGCACAAAGGAAGTATATAATCGCTTGATGGAGGATGGCACAATGCTACCCTTAATGAATTTATCACATAGTGTGAAACAAAAAGTCATGAAGAGATCATCA